CATTGTTTATTATAACAATATTAATAATGATATGGATCTCGCTCGGCTTTGGTTCGGGCTAATATAACAAGGATCTGTCCTCTTTTACCTTCAACGACATCCAAATCTACGAGAACTCAACACTGGAAATGGAGTTTTCTGGCGAAAAACCTCCGGTGCCTAAATTAGTATGTGAATGAAGAAGATGAACAACAACAAAGTGTATGAGAATGTGTAGAGAGTGTAAGAAAGTAACTAATCTACTACACCCTTTATATAGAGTGTAGTATCTTGCTCTCGAAGTATGTCTATAGAGTTGACTCAGTTGCCCCAGTCACCCGTCCATACGAGGTGCAAAGTTGCAGGCGGTTAGACTTTGTCAGGTGTGCAGGTGATCCAGTCCCGTCGTGACACATGGTCCAATCCTCGCATGGCTTTATCTCCAAGTTTTTTTTTCTTGTTCATGTGTCTGGATCCAGGTCATCAAGTAGAATATTCGTCAGGTAGAACATCTTCTCCTACTAGCTCCCTTGTTACCAATGAGATCGAGTCGAACTCTTAGCCAGCTGGGGTTGAACGTCTAGCGAGCTCGTGTTGTGGCTGACGACTTCCCCCCGGGAGGTCATCAATAGCCCAGTTATTGTCTTCAGGTCGATATTTGGTAGTGGCTCGAGCTGTCCTCTTAGTCCGGTCTGGCTGCTTGCTTCTTTAATTCGGTTGACCCGGTGTGATATCTCATATCATCTAGTCGTCCTACCCCCTCCACCCTCCCCCAACTTTGGTCGAGCTGAGACAAATCGATCCCAGAGTGGATCTCCGTGCTCTTAGCACTGCTTTGTTGACCCTTTTTTTACGCTCTTCGACTTGAAGCTTCTATTTCTTGATATCCAGAGTGAGTTTGGATCTGTCTACCCTTTTATTGAATTTTAAGGTTTGAGTTCGAGCATTTATAAGATCAGTTAACTCCTTCGAGCCGATACACCATAAGGTTACCATATTCGATCTTTCTGTACTTCTTCTTGGTCCTTATTTTTAAATTCAAAATTTGAAATTCGAAACTCATAACGTACACCAAAAGTAACTGCCTCGTCTGTCGTGCCTCCTCATGTGTCGCGCCTATTCAGATTACGTACTTTATATCCATCTTTTCACCATCTGCCTCTTAATCTTAACCCTTTTTCTCGAGCTTTATCCGACGGTCCTTGGCACTCATCCCTCTGCCTTTGATCCGAGTTGTTGATTTCGACCTCCACCCATCGGTCCATAAGGTTCAACCTTCCGAATCTTCAATTTGCCCTTATAAATATCCTTCTCATATGCTTTATGTGTTTTTTTCACTTTTGCAATTTGTCTGTAGCTTTTATTTCACGTGCCTTCTTCTTTGTGAAAAAGCAGTCTTCCCGTCCTTTGTTGTACTCCGCCGCTCGAGCTTCAACCTTTAGGATCATGAAGTCACTCAGTAAGTTCACGAGTTTCCTTATCTTTGGCTTTTATATTTTATTGTTTTTTAGTTTAGTAAACCTCGCTAGACCTCTCCTCCACGAAACCCCTTTATACAAGCCTTAAATCCTCTGTTATCCTTTTCTTCGTTCTTGGTGCAGACCCTAGTAAGATATTGTCCGCTTTGGGCTACTTCCGCCACCCGCACGACTTTGTTCTTGGCTGGGCTTCAATACACACCCACCAAAACGCGTCTTACTAGTGAAGGTATCCACATCCTTATATAAGGTCTGCTTCGTTTCCTTTCAAACCCGATGTGGGATGCGCTGCATCAGTTCTTTGTTGTTTTTAGATTCGCGTGCTACCTCCGACTCCAAAGCCGCCTCCGTCGGTCGCGACATGTCCCCGAGGAGCTCTCCGTCGAGCTCGCCCTCAAACATTTCCTTCCGACTTGTGGTGTTATTTTTTCCTTGCATAGAACCGTCTCGAGCTGGCTAAAGCCTCCACTCCCGCAACTGACAATGAAGCGGGGCCCCAAAACACTTCCCGCAAATCTAGAGTTCCTCATGCACACCATTAAAATCATTTTTATTTACACAAATACTACTTGGTTTTTATTTTCAATTACCATTATTTTAAAAAATACTTTCTAAATTAGTCAATTCTTTCACTCATCTTAATTTTACTTCACTCTTTCATCTTTTTTTTTTTCTCTTTTTTTTCCCCCTTCTTCTTTGTCGTTCAATTTCCTCTCCACCAAATGTATAACTTAATTTCATTCCCTTTATTTTTTTTGGTTTTTTTCAAAATCGCAGACCACCTCCATCATCCCTTTGACAACACTAACTGAAAAGGTCATGACGGGAGAAGAGTCACGACCGGAGGTTCATAATGGCGAATAACGGTGATGTCTCGAAGATCGACAGTGATAGATCAACGGTTTCTGATGGCTTTTGACGGACCCAACTCCTATCTTAATCAACCCCTTGTCGCTCATCGCCGTTGTCCACCCCTTGATCAGGCACGCACCTAATCAGTAGAGCATGTGAATCCCTATTGAAGGTAGAGAATCGAGCAGAAACATAAGCTCGGGGCATGTTTCGAACCGAGGGCACTGAACCAGCCTCTTGCTGCGTTTGATCGGCGGTACCAGAGGATCCTGCTGATTGGAGCTCCGGGCAAGGGCCGTTTGGGGTGGCGACGGGAATTTCGACGTCCGATTCACTATATACTCCCTCTTTGTTTCTTTTTAGATGTTTTTTTAATTTAAAACTTCTCATCATCATCAACATCAACATACTCAGTATATTCCTAACATGTTGGGGTCTGGGGGGTCAGTTGTACGCAGACCTTACCCTTGTAATTATACAAGGAGGTTGTTTAACATGTTGGGGTCTGGGGGGTCAGTTGTACGCAGACCTTACCCTTGTAATTATACAAGGAGGCTGTTTTCATAGCGACCCAAGGTGCGTTGCGTCGTTTGATATATCTTTTTCCTAGAAACTTCACTAATAGAAGAAGCACTAGAATTTAATTGAGTCATTTTGATCTAGTCCATTATTAGCACTATGCCAGGAGAATTGTCAACAATGACTCTTCCAGCTCCATATGCAATAGACATAATAATTAATTTAAAACTTCTAAATTACAATTTTATGGGTTATGTAATTATCTTATCTACTAATCCTCTTAAATTTAGTGTTTGAGTTATTAATGAGTCATTTTAAAGTTAATGATAAGAGAGAAAGTTTTTAGGTGATTTTTTAAGATTTGTTAAAGAGGATAAAGTTGAAAGAATCGATAAAATATTTTCAATGACAACTAATTTGCAAAAAAATTGATATCCTACAACGACATTTATAAAAAAACAGAGGGAGTATGGGTACGTTTGGTTGTTGGCGTTTCAGCCAAATTTTAGCAGTTTTGGTCCAGTTAGCTGCTTTTAAAGTTTGACCAGCTGAAAACTATTGTTTGGTAAAGGAGCTTATGCTAATAGCTGTTTGGGCCCAAAAGCCAATATTGAAAACGCTGCTTGGAGCAGCGTTTATGTTTAGCGTTTCAAGTTTATTTATTTAATTATGTGAAATATGAACATTTTGTGGGCATTTGTATCAGAAATTCTATGGCACCACATGTGGCATCATATTATGGTGCCACAAAATAATGTGGCACATTATGATTGGTGCCACAATTATCACACATCATGTGTGACACCAATCATAATGTGTCACATCATGTTGTGACACCATAATATGGTGCCACATGTGGCGCCATAGAATTCCTGTCATTTGTATACTGCAATTATGATTCACATTCCACAATGCATTACTTTTTTTTTTTTATTTTATTCTTTTATTTTATTTAAGAATTGGTTCCCTTTAAATATGGAATAATTATTTTTAAATTCTTTTTCTTTATCGATAATTATTTTTAAATTCTTGTTTTCTTAATGGGTTGGCATGCTTAAAGACCACTTTCATTAATTTTGTATTCTTATGTGAAATTTCTTGTTTTTCAATATAACAAAATAAGTGATGTATGTTATTATTTTACAAAAATTTAATTCTTTATATATATATATATATATTATTGTTATTATTATTATTTGAGTAATTATATATTTACTTACATTAATTATTTTATTCAACTTAATAACATCAACCAGCTAATTTTACCAAACATTTCAACACAATCTGCTAATGTAATCCGCTGGTCAAAACAGTCAATAGAATTCGCTAGTCAAAACAGCTGATATAATCAGCTAACAGCTAATCGCTAACAGCTGATTGCCAAACAAGATCTATATGTTTTGATTTATTGACGTTGTGGAAGATTTTAATATTTATGTAACCTATATTAATAGTTTATGATTGATATATGAGCATGAATTTTTTAACCAAGTTACAAGGTCTAATACTATAAAAATGTTATAAACTATAAATAAACTAATAAACATATACTTAAACAATAAATATTTCGTAAATTACAATGAAAGTATATTGTATAATTGAAATTCTTTTTAAGGGCTAGATATACTGAAAACGTTTCGAAAAAGAAAAATTGTCATATATGGGAGTTCCAATTTTATTATGGGCTAGCCAATATTTTTGAAGCAGTATGGGCTGTTCCACAGGTAATTATCTCAACATTTTAAACCCACATATATTGTGATGAATATATTAATAGGAGATGATATGGTCCCTTTACGAAACCATTAACGGGACCATTCCGTCGTGATTTATAATCGTTAGATCACCTGTCCCCGATGGTTACATAATGATATAACGATTACAAATCCCAACAGAATAGTTCCGTTACGGGATCGTAGCATTTTCCTGTATTAATACATACACCTACAAAAGTTTGAGTACACTGGTATAGAGTCCCAACTCCCGAATCTCACTAACAAATACCCTTCAAAATCTCATCTCAACAGCCCAAAAAAATAAAAAAAAAATAATAAGAGAAACAGTCAAATATCCTCCCCTGCATATCAGCTTCCCACTACAACAAACCCAGCTTCCCTCTCAATCCCATGTACTGAACTAAAACAATCACACTCCAACTCTTGGAAAAGAAAAATGATCCTTCTCCCACTCACCATCTTCCTCCTCCTCATCACCACACGCTCCCAGTCATCCTTCAACGGCGACACGCTGGCCACCGACCCACAGCTGGAGTTCGAGAACCCCCGCCTCCGCAACGCCTACATCGCACTCCAGGCCTTCAAGGAAGCCATACTCTCCGACCCCAACAACGTGACCGCCACGTGGGCCGGCCCCGACCCTTGCTCCTACACCGGCGTCTTCTGCTGGCCATCCCCCGACAACCCGTGCGAGCGCACCGTCGCCGGCCTCGACCTGAACCACGCCAACCTTGCAGGCCATCTCCCCCACGAGCTCGGCCTCCTCTTCGACCTTGCAGTCTTCCACCTCAACTCCAACCGCTTCTGCGGGAAGCTTCCCCAGAGCCTCGCCAGCCTCGGCGTCCTCCACGAGCTCGACCTCAGCAACAACCGCTTCGCCGGACCTTTCCCGACCTTCCTCCTCGACATCAAAAACCTTAAGTACCTCGACTTGAGGTACAACGAGTTCGAGGGCGCCCTCCCGGAAGCCCTCTTTTCAAAGAATCTCGATGCGGTTTTCGTTAACGACAACCGATTCTCCTCGGCCCTGCCGGATAATATCGGAAATTCTCTGGCCTCGGTTTTGGTTCTGGCGAATAATGATTTCGAGGGGTGCCTTCCCCCGGGCCTCGGTGACATGTGGGCCACGCTGAACGAGCTGGTGGTGACGAACAACGGGCTGTCGTCGTGCTTCCCGAGCGAGATCGGGAGGCTCAGGAATCTGACGGTTTTGGATGTGAGCCGGAACAGGATCGTGGGCCCTCTGCCAGACTCGATTGGGGATATGAGTAGCTTGGTGGAGCTCAACGTGGGGCATAACTTGATGTCAGGGGGAATTCCCTCGGGAATATGCCAGCTCCCGAGCCTGGTGAATTTTTTGTACGAGGACAATTATTTCACGAGCCATGGGCCCGAGTGCCTGAGTCTTCCGGGATTTGACGACGGGATGAATTGTTTGAGAGGGAGGCCGGGACAGAGGCCTGGCGAGGACTGCCGGAGGTTCTTGGCGAAGGCGGTTAACTGCAGCAGCTTCGGCTGTGGGGCCGCCACGTCCCCTCAGCCGCCGCCCCCGCCGCCGTCACCAGTTAATCCTCCGCTGCCGACACCTAACGTGGGGCCCAGCCCGCAGCCACCAGTGGGGCAACCGACACCTGGCATGGGGCCCAGCCCAACTCCACCTGAAAAGTGCATGCCGCCGTGTTGCCAATGTGCAAGGTCACCGTCGGGAGTTTGAAGAAGTTATCACGGCGGCAGCATGCATGCAGTCTTTTGCACTACTTTTCTGCATCGCCGGGCCGTGTGAATACATATATCATATGTTGCAGTTTTTTTGTAGGACGACGAGGGAAAAAGCTATGAGAGGGTCCCACAGCATATCGAACGAGAGAGCCGGATGAAGATGCTGGAGAAGGGTAAAAGATGATAATGTTTCTTCAGACCTTTTTGTGGAACAATATTTACTGTTATTTTGGTGTATCTAGAGATGATCTATTACAGTCACAGTGGAATGCAGAATAAATGTTGTTTTATTTTTTTTTAAACTGAAGATCACATATATACATCTCCCAGAATGGTACACATGTGCACATATGCATCCATGAACGAAGCCTAAACAAGCAATAATAAATTAAAATCAAGTTACGTGTGTTGAAGTTCCCAATTCTTTACAGCCAGATAGAGTTTTGTACAGAATTTAAACGACGCCAGAAACTTGTTCTGATCCACCTAAAACGACATACAACTTTTCCGGGCCAGCCTAATAAGAGCGCAAAGGATCGTTTCAGCTGTATTGATCATTCGCAACTGAAGTATTCCATAAGTTCAGAGCTCGATCCATTTGTAGTGCAGTACAAATTAGGTGGGAATAGCCATAGTCTTTGTGTAAGAGTAGAAAGGTGGGAACTGGGAGTACAATTTCTCACATGCACCAGTTTATATCAGACCATGGCATGCTGCAAAGATCAAGTAAATTCACTGTAAAGAATAGAAGAATGAAAAAAAAGAGAGCAAAAAAATATGAAACAAACAAAACCTCATCAAGTTTCTTTGAGCCACTGGCTGAATGAAAAGCTATGAATAAAATCCGTCGTGCCTATACTGAATCACATGCGGCAGCTGCCAATCTGTTTTTCCCCGACGCAGAGCCCTTACAGACCGAACCCAGACTCATTTACTACAAGAAATTGATGAAATTCCCGGAAAATGCCAATAGAAATATATTTCAATGGATATTCCAATGTTATTATTTCGGTTGGAATTTTTCAATAGATTGTTTTCCATTAGATTTTCCAACTCAATTAACGGCTGGACTAGGATAACCAACAAATAAGAAATACTAAAAAAAAATAAAAAAATAAACTGTTGGTATCTTAAATATTTATATAAAAGTGTAGATATGAGAAAAGATATATATGCTATTATATGTTGGATTTTGAAAAATAAATGAATATAATTTGTAGAAGAACAAATGAAATGAAGAAGCTTGAGCATGTTTGTTTATGGAAATTTTAAAAAAATTTAACTTAACCACTTTTTTTAACTCAACTTTAACTCAACCTCACTATCATCAATATTATTAATATAATTAAATAATATCAATCAATCATTCTTACACACCACATCAACCTTAATTCATTATTCATCCACTCACATTATTTTAACTAACCATCACATCAAATCATCTCTCTCCTATTTTTTCATCAAATTATTTATTTTAAATATTATTATAATATATCCACAAACAATTAACCATACCACATTTTTCAAAATTAACCAAACCAAACCAAAAAATCCAAACAAAACCAAAAATTTTCATAAACAACCATGTGTTTTTTTTTTTTATTCAAATTCTGTTGCCTTGCACTTTCAATTCGAGCACACACACATATATATAGCACATATGGAACTCTCTAGAGTCCAATTATTACAATTGCCAACTAATGGCAATCAATTTCCAACTAATTAACAATAAACTGATCATTAATTATTTTAAAAACAACCAATAAATCATTAATTATTTTAACAACAACCAACTAAGCATTAGTTATTTTAACACTCTCCCTTAATACTTATTTGGTTAATTCCAAGTTTTTCGTGTATAGTCTCGAATCTTAGTCGCGGTAAAGCTTTTGTGAAAATATTTGCAAGTTGATCTTTAGTGGCGACATACGTGAGCTTTATCTGCTTATCATTAGTTGCTTCACGTAGAAAGTGATATTTGATAGCAATGTGTTTGGTCCTGTTGTGATGTACGGGATTTTTCGCCATTGCTATCGCTGACTTGTAGTCACAGTAAATCTCCGTTGGACTTTCTTGGTGTTCTCCCATGTATCCAAGAATACGTCTGAGCCAAATAGCTTGACTTGTTGTTAGTGTTGTTGCGACATACTTAGCCTCTGCTGATGATTGCGCCACACAGTCTTGCTTTTTAGATGACCACGAGAATATGACTCAGTGAAAATGTGTAGCTTGAAGTGCTTTTCATGTCGTCAGTTGATCCAGCTCAATCACTACATGTGTAGCCGACTAGTCTTGAGTCTTCGTTATATTCGTATTGGATTTCGTAGTCTTTAGTACTCTGCAAATATCGCAGTATTCTCTTTGCAGTTCCATAGTGGACTTGGCTTGGACATTGCATGAACCTCGACAGTAAAGTTATTGCGTACATGATATCTGGTCTTGTGGCAATTAGATATATATAGTAAGCTTCCAATCAGACTTCTGTATGTGGATGCGTCTGCATTTGGTGTACCATCTTCTTTGCTGAATTTTTCGTCCGCTACCATGGGAGTAGCCACTGGTTTGCAGTCGTCCATCTTGAACCTTTTTAGTAGATTATCTGTGTATTTTTTCTATGAGATAAATATCCCACTTTTTTCTTGGGTTACCTCAATGCCGAGAAATTAGCTCATTTGCCAAGGCCTGTATCTCGAAGGTCTTCATCATTTCTTCTTTGAACTCCTTAATCATCTCCCCATTGTTCCTTATATAGATAAGATCATCGACATAAATAGAAACAATGAGTTTATTGTCATTACCTTGGGTCTTGATATAGAGTGTTGGCTCAATTTCGCTTCGTTGGAATCCATGACCGGTGAAGTAGTCATCAATTCTGTTGGACCAAGCTTGTGGGGCTTGTTACAATCCGTAAAGAGCCTTCTTTAGCTTTAGGACTTTATTTTCTTGTCCTTCTACCACGAACCCTTGAGGTTATTCGACATAGATCTCCTCTTCTAGGTAGCCATTGTGAAATGCAGACTTGACATCAAGGTGATAGATTCTCCATTTTTTCTAGGCTGCAAGTGCAATTAGATCTCTTATGGTGTCTAGCCGAGCAACTGGAGCGAAGGTCTCGTTGTAGTCGATCCCAGGCAATTTTGAGTACCCTCTAGCGATCAGCCGTGCTTTATGTTTTTGGATTGAGCCATCTGGGTTAAGCTTCGTCTTGTAGACCCACTTAACTCCAATGACTTCCCTGTTGTTTGGTAGATCGACTAACTCTCAAGTTTTATTCTTCGCGATCATCTTGATTTCTTCTTCCATGACTTTTACCCATTCTTTTTCCTTTACTGATGCTTCAAAGCTTTCAGGTTCCATGGTAGCAAAATTGCATGTTTCGTAAATCTCCCTGAGTGTTTGTACCTTTCTCATTGGTGATTCTGGAGATGACTGTTCATCGTTTGATGGTGATGTTGTCCTCGGTCTCGAAGGTTGTGGAGCTGGAGGTGATTGTATACCTTCTGCTTCATCTTCATGTTCTCTTGGTATAGTATTTTGCCTTCGCCGTGTAGGTACCATGATATGTTGGTATTCGACTTTTTCTTTCTCCCAGTTCCACGCAGTATTTTCATCGAGCTCAACATCTCGAATGATAATTAATTTACCAGTCTTGAGAATGTAAATTTATGTATCCTTTAGATTGAGACGCATAGCCGAGGAATATGCCTTTTTCAGATTTCTCCTCCAATTTATGCCTCTTTTCCTTTGGGATGTGCACGTAGCAGATACTCCCAAACACTCATAGATGTTGGGCTGACGTTTTTCGTCCACTCCAAGATTCTATTGGAGTTTTATTTTGGACAGCTTTAGTAGGACATCTGTTGAGTAGATAGACTGCAGTGTATACAGCTTCTGCCCGAAATTCTTTTGGCATGTTCTTCTCCGCGAGCATTGTCCTGGCCATCTCTTGTACAATTCTGTTTTTCCTTTATGACACACCATTTTTCTCTGGAGCATAGCCGGCAGTTAGCTGATGGTTGACTCCTTCATCGCAGTATTTGTTGAACTCCTTGGATGTGTATTCTATTCCTCGATCACTCCGAAGTACTTTAATTCTTCTTCCACTTTGATTTTCGACGAGGCTTTTGAATTTCATGAAAATAGAGAAGACTTCGGACCTTTCTTTCATGAAGTACACCCAAGTCATTCTTGTATAGTCATCAATGAAAAGGACGAAGTACTTGTTTTTCTCGAAGGTTAGCGTTCTCATTGGTTCACACACGTCTATGCACCAACTCCAATATTTGATTAGCTCTTTCTGCTTGGCTTGAAGGAAATAGTTTCCTATGTTGTTTTCCCTCCATGCATTTTTCGCAGAGATTGTCGTTGATTTGGATAGCCAGTAGATTTTTCATCATATTTTTCTGATGGAGTAACTTTAGCCCGTTGAAGTTGAAGTGTCCGAACCTTCAATGCCATAGCAATGATTGATCTTCTTCGGCTTTTAGTGTTGCTTCTATGAATTTCCAACGGAGCGGAAAGTTTCTCCGTTGTTGCATTTTTACAGCTATGAGATTGTTTTTGTTGTCATAAATGGTGCAAGAGTTATCTTTGAAGAGTAGTGTGTATTCTCTTTCCACCATTTGCCCCACGCTAAGTAAATTAGTATCAAGTTTTGGTACTAGCAGCACATCTTCAACGAGACGAGTACCTTTTTGAGTCTCGACCTCAATTGAACTTTTGTCTTCAACTTCTACTAAATCTCCATTTCCCAACCGAACTTGTGATTTTCCAGATCTATCAATATTTTTAAATTTCTTCTCATCTCCGGTCATATGGTTGCTATAACTGCTATCTAGGAACCAAATATCATTTTTCTCTACTCAAGTTGCATGATTTGCATAGAACAACAAATTTTCTCCTATTTCATTTTCTTCAAGGAAATTTGTTTGATATCTTTTAGTGAGACAATTTTACTCCACATGACCGAATTTACCACAACTTTTACATTGTGAT